TCCGCTACTAGTCGCTGAGGAGTCATACTCATTTTTGATTCGTGATAAAAGCAATATCTACGTGTTCAGATAATCCGCAGAGTTGAAGTATACTTTTGGAAGTTCGTAACAAACAGTAAAATCAAGCGAAAGCTCTCATCTACCTCATCTCACAGCAATACAACCGCCGGGTGCAATAATTGCTAAATGAACAAAGGACGTAGCCTGAAATTCATCCGATTGCTTCGAGTCGTTTTCTCCTCTCAACAACGTCCGAATCGACCGGCCGTTAATGCGTCCAGTGACGTCACTCACTACCCGAAAACCGGGTAGTCATTTTGATTGGTTGATTGTCTAAACATTCGCATAATTATGTATGATTAAGAAAAATTTTAGCGGGATTGTAGCTTGACATGCAGCGGATCGCATCCCTGGCATTCTTTCGTTTAGTTCAAACATTTCGAGAAGCTTAATCTTTACCTTAAACAGCAAAATTGCCCTTGTCTTCGAAACTGAAATGCTAAATTGAACTGCGAATGAAGAATCATTGAGGAGAGTCGGTAGGTTTTTCATTTAGAGCCGTTTTGTTGTTTCGGCGGCCGGTGATTTTGTTTACGCGAAGTTTTCTGAGATCAGTGTTATAATTCGACCTTCTTGCTATTTTTACCCTCAAGTGTAATGATTCTGTTAGCTTTTCTTTCTTGTCTCCTTGTTTTTTCCTTCGTTAAGGACCAAATAGCTTCTTTTCAATTAAAGCAAATCATTGTGTTTTTGAACTATAAAGTGTTCCGTGTGTGTGTTTATTTCATTGCGAGATTGCGACCGAGTTTGATTATAGAGTTTAGTACAACCGGTTCAGAGTTGTACTGCATGCAGTTGATAGTTTGAACGTTAAACATGAATTACAATCGAAAAACATAAAGCAGTTCTGTGTCATGCTGAAATTTCCAAACGATATTTCTTGGTTTGCCACTTGTAAATTGACTATTTTCCAATTCCCCATAATACACTCTGTTTGCCCCCCAAATTTTGCATAACTTATTGTCTTAAAATGCTCATGGGAAAATGCAATACTCCCAGGAGCATTTAAAAACGATGGTTTATGCAAAATTTGGGGGGCAAACAGAGTGTATTATGGGGAATTGGAAAATAGAGAATCGTGTTTTACTTTTTGCATGAATTAAAGCAAAGGTCAAGGAGTAGTGACGCCCCTGGACGGCATTAACGGCCGGTCGATCCAGACGTTACTGAGGGAGTAATAACGACTCGACGTAATCGGATGAAATTCAGGCTACAAAGGACGGTTTGTTTCTTATCACGTGCTTTTGTCATATCACCGCAGCGCGCGAAATCGTGATTTCAGTCGCGCGTGACATCTCAGAAATAATATGCTATACATGTGCGGAATAATTTATGAGACAAAGATAACCATATAGCGAAGTTTATTCAGATCGGAGCGTTGTTTCTTGATGCAACATAAACGAGGTGAGATCTTAGCTTGGAAAGTTTATTTACAGTGAAACCGCGCCTTACACCACTCTGTAATACGGTCACCTCGTTATTAAGGCCACTTTGTTTTGCCGCCTGGCAAAATGCCCATACATTTTCTAGTAAAAAAAAAACCCCTCGTTGATACGGTCACCGGTTGATATGGCCAAATTTTTAATTTTGGCCTATTTGAGACTTAATTATAACTATAACAAAATTCTCAAATCTGATTGGTTCTCAACTGCCCTGATTTCAGCCTTAATAGGACAGTTTAATAGGACAGTACGCGTCATGCCTAAGTAATTGGACAGTACGCGCCATCACGCGCGCGCTTAAATGGCTTTTTTGTTTTCATTGCTAGCGAAAAAATCGTGGAATTTCTTGTGTTTTGATTTAAAAAGAGCCCTATATATCACAAATTTTGTTAAAGTTATGATTAATTGGTAACAGAACTTCGTGTCGTCCAATTCGGTCTGTAATCATACTCGTGATTAAACAAATCGGACTCCCGCTACGCGGTCGTCCGATTTTGTTAATCACTCGTATGATTACAGACCGAATTGGACTCCACTCTGTCCTGTTACCATTACGTATTAAAGGGGTTCCACTATATTATGTAATTTAGGGCTTATTTTAGATAAACCTGTTTTGACCGTATGTATCCGCTTCTCCGCTGCTATCTACGGCTGTTTGTGAAAAATTCCTATGTAAAATTAAAATGCGATTTTTAGAAGTTTTTTTTTTCACTTATAGAATGTCTCGTAACTGCATTAATTGAATCACGGCTAAAATCTACCGGGAGATTTTGGCAGAGAGCTTGCAGATAATGAACATTTAGGATTGATCTTTTATGGCACACTGCCACAGTTACGTATTGTATATTTATTAATAGGGACTTTAAGAAATAGGACAACGGGAGAGTTCTAGTACGGTAACGAAAAAGTTTTTTTTTTTCCGTCACGCGTCAATACCTCGAGTTAACATACATGAATAATAAAACGTGAATTCCCATTCTTTCTAAATTTTTCGCTGTTATTGCAAGTCGCTTTCTTTGTCAGTGTAGGCGAACTCATATCCAAGTTTAGAAAGGTAAAAAAGCCCACCGTCGTTTGTTTACGTCCTCCATAAATAGTGAAATTCGGCATTTTCACGTCGAGGTCGTACAGTGTGGCAAAGAAATGTAGTAGAAAAAAACAATAAGTTATGTGTGCAAAGTTGTTGATTTCGCTAACTAAACTTAGTTTCTAGCAGTACTACGCTTTTCTTATACGTAGGAGATCTGATAGAGGTTGAAAGGCATAATGGATGGTTTTGTCATGCACATGTTTTACAATGAATTTATATGTATATATTTTCAACTAACTCCTATGCTGTTAGTTTGAGGATTTCATGTATGTATATGGCGAGGAACTATAATTACCCTACTGCAGTTTTTTTTTCTTTTGTAGTATAGGTTTTCACAAGTTTTTAATAAAGTTGTTTTTGTATTACCATTAATTTATAAATACAGAAAGATAAAAATGAAGATGATAAAGCACTACAGCATTTTAATCAACGCAGACACTAACTTATATACATACCTCGAACTTATCCCACTCGAACCTATCAACACCAAACGGAGAATCCATACGTAGAGCCCGCGAACGTTATCACATTGAAAAGGCACTAACTATGCAACCGCAGGGAATAAACAGAGAGGACAACTGTTAAATCATTCATTTACTTATTGATTTCATTATATTTTTTATTTCATTTTAATTTACTTTATTATTATTAGTAGTAGTAATTATCATTATTATTTTTTTATTTTTAACTTTTTTTAATTTTCAATTTTTTCAGTTACTAAATTATCTCATTTGTCCGAATTGTTTATCATTATTGGCCCATATTAGTTTTTGAAGATTACCTTTGTATAAAATTTCCAACTGCTAAAACCACTTTCCTATTCCTCATTAAATCGGCCCTGAAGAAGGGCAGCTTGTCCGTCGAGAATGTCGGGAAACCTCAAGTCACTTTTGTCTTGGCTGTTTTGTTATCATGCATGTTTATAAAATTGAACCACAACATTGACATTGTTATAGAAAAATTCATACATTTAGACGGGTTTCAACCGCCGAGGAAAATGGTGACATGTTTGGTAAAAAAGCGAAAAATTGCCTCGGTTAGCACGATCCGCGCGGCAAGTGCGCTTACGACTGCCCCTCTATTTTTTAATTGCCCCACCCACCGAGCCACTTTTACGAAAGTGACAGCGAAAACGAAACCTGAACTGGCGTAAACTAATTACTAACTTAGTCTGTCCAAAATAAAACTTCTAATTAACTACAGAGGCCTCAATACGGACAGATCGGCGACATCAAAAGTGAATGCAATAAAAGCGCAAAGCATTTTTTTTTTAACTCACGCAGCGTCAAATAGCAGGAAGATGTCAACAACCAATTAGAAGAAACAGCATTCTCAATATTGATAACTGTACTCTATAAATCATTTGTCAGAAACGTTGATGCCAGGCCTTGTTTCAATTTTGAGCTGAAAAGAAACCTTAGGTTTAGTCCCTATTATCGGGTATAGCTAAGCTACTGATTTCTTGCAGCTCCTTACATAACTCTTTAGAAATTATGTATAATACAAGAGAACAGGGCCGGATAGTTTCTGAAAGCACAGATAAAATCTCTCACAAAGTCAGCTTTGGAATCAGCAGGTTAAATGTCACCACGTTTTCACTGTATATACCGCACTTATTGGCAAACATGAAGTTTCCATGATATCACTTCCTGCAGGACGGGTGTCTTATTCCCATGTCTCACCGTCGCAAGATTATGGGGCTCTTATATGCTGCAACTGTTTATTAAAGTTACGGCTATATGTAAATGATATGGAAAACTACTGTGGGAGGATAATTTTTAGAAACTTTCCAGTATGTCTGTTTTTAGAGACGACAGTTATCTGAAACTGGTTTGAGTGATCTGAAGCCATCTCCAATATTAAATACTGTTTGTTCTCTAAACAAATAAGGAGTTAAAACTGAATTGGAATCGAAATTAAATGTGTTTTTTCTTGGATGTCACTGCGCTTTTAAGTGAAAGCTGATCACGATGAGTGTTTTCTTTATTCTAGAGGACATTTCCTTGCGACACAGCTCCCATATGTTTCTAAAGAAAAATATTTTACCCGGGATCGTTAGCAATAAAAACTCTTACTTTTAGTGCTCTGCTTGTTTTCTTAAGTTAAAAAAAAGATGTTTTAGTTATGAAAAGAAAGACAGCTGCTAGTATTAATATTCTTCAAATTAAGACAAGTTTCTAAATTACCACGCAGCAAATTTACATCTAACAACTAAGTATTGTGAATCAGGCTTCGACGCGCCAGCCTGGCGCATGTGAATACGTCTTCAGTTAAACTCTCTTGTCATAAACGATAACTCTCGGCTTAAAATTCCCATTTGTAACCTTCAAAGTCAGAACGAGGAACCCCGGTGTGATTGCAAAAAGGCGGAAAATGAGCGTCAAAGCGCGCCTTCGCATAGTAGAAAAATGACGATAACTGCGAACTTCACCGGTCTTGAAAAGCAGACCACACTGAATAATCCTGTAGAGCGATACTGTGCCCCAGAATTAGCTGAAGGTATACAACATCCGCTGGTATGTCTTATTGTGCTGAACATTTTCCTGTCCATCTGTGCGTTTCTTGGGAATTCGATCATCCTAGTTGCGCTTCACAAGAAATTATCCCTTCACACGCCGTCTAAACTTCTTCTCCGTTGTCTGTCAGCATCTGACCTCTGCGTTGGGCTCATTGCGGAACCAGCCATTGTTGTGTATTGGACTTCGCTGGTTTTTGAGGGGAACACGACCTGTCGATACTCAGCTCTCATCAGCCACATCACAGGCTATATATTGGGCTCAGTGTCTCTGCTAACACTGACTGCAATAAGCATCGATAGGCTCTTAGCATTGATATTGGGGCTCAGATACAAACAGATTGTAACTTTAAAGCGAACATGCATGACAGTGATCGCTGTGTGGCTTCTTTCCAGTGTCGGCACCACACTCTTTTTTGTGAATTATTTCATAACACTATGGTATGGTAACATTATAATATTATCGTGCCTGGTAACTTCTATTTGCGCTTATTCCATGATTTTTCGTTTTCTTTGTTGTCATGCATATAAAGGCCAAAACAGTGTCTACCCAGGACAACCGAACCAAAACCTCCCGCTACTTAACCTTGCAAAGTACAAAAGGTCGGTCAAAAACGCACTGTGGGTGCAGTTAACTTTAGTGGTCTGTTATCTTCCATATGCTGTAGAACAAGCTTTGCCGAAAAGTCCAAATGAAAAATCTCAGTCTCTATATCTTGTAAGGGCAATGACGCTGACTTTAGTTGATCTAAATTCGTCACTGAATCCAATTCTTTACTACTGGAGGATCGGACAAGTAAGACGAGCGGTGAAGGAAACTCTTCGAAGATTGGCCTGTTCTAGGTAACTAACAGAGGTTCACGGCGCTAACCCCAACACACCGTTAAAGGCGACAATTTTTCTCTTTTAAGTTACTAACTATTAGGAGTTTGAATTTGAAAGTTAGTGCTAGCGTCAATGCTGGAAGAAAATACCGAGATGATGCAGTTTGAAGAAAAAATAAGTAAAGAAAATAAAAATGACCCGTGAGAATTAGGGTGGGTAATAATAGCCTGTTATAAGAAAAATATGTTATTTCCGTGTATTTGTGATCAATAAAGGAGGAAAGGCTTTTGAGTAAATTTCCAGAGTGCAAGCGGATGATTTTTTTGAGGCCTGAGTTTTTTAAATTAGTAATTGCTTGTTTATACATTTTTAGATATCTTTATTTGCTCATGGAAGTAATTTCATCGATGTCACGAACATTTAAGTAACGAATACCGATGAAGATCCTAGACAAGATATTTTTATGTGTTTGGCTGCTCCTCTACAGTGTATGTCAATATTTTTGCCGATTCGCGAATGGAGGTGCGAAGATATCGACGCATGGATATTAACTGGTTTAGTGTGGTGCTCGAGAAGTGTTCTTTTGACTTTGCACTCGATGGTGGCCCACTCTAACCAAAGCTATAGTTTAATAATTTTACAGTTGATAACCATTTTCAATCCATATGGTTCCAAGCTTTTCTTTCGCCTCAACGAAAAGTTTTTCCTCAGTTGTTTTCAGCCAATTATTTTGGAAGAATAATTCACAGCTTACAAAAAAGGTTAATTAGTTGTAATTTGGACTTCCTTTTTGTCCGTTTAAATAGCTCTAAGCGTTTTCGTGAAATTGAAAATAAAATGAAAACGTCCTTAGTTGAGTTCTCAATATCCAAAAGCCCATTACGTTCCTGTGTAATTTCTTAAAGTATGGTTTTCGTGAAGCTCTTCGCTAAGGAGCCGACTGTTGGGCATGTCTAGTCAATGAGTCAGTCAAGGAAAGTTGCAAACAATTCAGGGGCACCCAACAAGAATATAGTTCAAAACCACTTAAACATAGCATTGTTAAACGTGTTTTAGTATTTAAACGGTGGATATGGGCATATTTTTATCCCTATAAATTTTTCATCTGTTCGGATTTCCTAGCTGAAAGTCTCGTGATCCGAAAATTATAGGGATCAAAACTTACCCGTTCGAAAATTTCAGCCAGAAAAAAGGCTCCCGAAAATTCTAGGTGACCTTTTTAGACGGTCGAAAATCCTAGGAGAGGCAGGCAAGCAAGAAATTTTGCAACAAATGTTCCGGAAATTCTAGATCTCAAATCGTCTTCCGAACAGATATTTTCCCGAAAATTGTCGTTGGGTGCCCCTGACAATTAGCGTGAACAGCAGATGGAATAAGAAGCCTCGACAAAATGGTGTTTAGATTTGTGAGATAGCTCCATAGATCGACCGATGTCTAATTGTGGCTTTGACCTTATGGAAAGGTCTCATCCAAAATGCTCTTTTATTTGTCTTTCTCTTGTGCTCTTTAATTCGATTTTATTTTCCTTTTAGAAATTAATGAAAGCGACTTCCCTGTGTCAATGTTATTATTTTTACTGTATTTGCTTACCATGATGATCATTTTCTGTGGTCACTCATTAAAAATTAACAATTATTCGCCGAAGGCGAAGTTAATATTGTTGAATAATCCCCGAGACGAAGTCGAGAGGATTATTCAACAATATTAACTAAGCCTGAGGTGAATAATTGTTTTAGTATATTCACACGACGTGATCTCAACAGAATCAGAAAGGAAACCATTAAAAAATGATTAGTTTAATTGACGGGTGAATTCATGCGTGAACACGAAACCGCCTAAACAGTGGATGCACAAAAGTTAGATCTTTACAGTATCTTCAAACATGGCAAATGATAGTTTTAATCTTTTTGTATCGAGAGTTTTGTAAGCTTTAGCATCAACGGTTTAAAAGAAAACGCCGAAAATTTAAGCTATTACCCAATTCTGAGAAGAAAAGTAGAGCTTTATTTGTTTCTGTCAACTCACCGTGAGTTTTTTTTGTCGCTTCCGTCAACAGCGGCTACGATCAAGGTGAGCGTTGTTTATCTCCAATGTTCTTTGACTTAACTTGCTGGCACTCACAATTTTCAAAAATATTTGCCTTCCTCTTTTCTCCGTAAATTAACTTCTATTTATAGGCAAAATTGGTCTTGCGAGAAAATCCCGAAATCACAAAACAGTGACCTCGTTTTCCTCTGTAGTGGTAACATAGCTTCGAGCGTACAAAAAGTCAGCTACAGTAAACCATTTTACAATAAATCACGCCGTTTAAACACCATGAAGTCTTTTCTTGCCTTCAGAGGCATCAGCACTTGGAAATTCGTGTATTTTCAAAAAGGCTTTAAGTACTATGAAACTTTGACACGACAGCGATTTTGTTCTGCTTTATATTCACCGCCGAGCGCGGTGAATATAACGTTATAGTCCGAGATAGCTAACCAATCAGATTGCTTGAATTACCAAGATCACTGAGTGTGTATAAACGTAGTTTCGCTTCATTTCTAGGCCTCTTTATTATACGCGCCCAATTCGAATCCACTAGTCACGCGGCGACGCTTTTTGATCGGTAGGAAGGTCCTGATTTCAGTGATTGTTAAGTATAGTCAAAGAGTGCTCAACTGGATTTCGAGGAAAAGTAAAATGCATATGTTTTGCTTCTTTCGGCGTTAAGTTCTCGTAGACGACCTAAAAGCTCAATGGAAGACAGAAAGTAACACCGCCAATTTTAACCGTTTCACCGTAGAATAATTCTACTAAAACGTTTAAATAAATTACAAGCGCTTTTTGAACCTTCAACAGTGCTGCACTGAAAGTGCTTTTTTTTCTTTCCGACCAGATTGAAAACAGTCCATGCCATGGACCTGTGACTTAACAAAGTGGTTTTCCACTAGGATCTATTCTAGGACCTCTTTTATTCTTATTATATGTTAATGACTTGCCTAATACGTCATTTATTTGCTGATGACACTAACCTCTATTTTTCTAGCAAGAGCTTCAGTTTCCTTGAATTAGGAACTTAAATATACATTGTATTGCCGAATGGATGAAAGTTAATAGATAAGCACTCATTGTCTCTAAAACTAATTTTATCCTTTTTCATTCTGTTATCCCCGTGTTTTAGTGACTATTTCAAATTCACATCAACTGCATTTCATTCCTATTCAACACGTCAATCATGTTATGGAAATCTTTACGTAACCTCAGTTAACACTAACCGCTTGCATTCCCTAAAATTCACTGGTTCTCGACTTTGGAATTCCTTGCCTCCTAGTGACTACTAAATAAGATTCTCTTAGACTGTTTCTTAAAGCTCTGAAGAATTGTTAATTGTTATATTAATTAATTGTCTGCCATAGCTCTAGAATAAATACTTTTTTATAAAAATAATATTTTCTAAATTCTGTGTGTAATTGTATTCCATTGGGGTCATCCACTAGATTAGCCTTTGCTGTTTGGATGATCCCAACTCGCTCTCTACTTGATGTTACTATTTTTATTCCTTATTTAAATGGTATTAATTGTCCATGTAAATTTAACCTGTATCATAGTATGTTGAATTGAGCAAGTTAAATAAAATCATCTAAAATCATCTATCATGCTTAATAACGGAAAGCACCGCTAATGCGTTCTGACTTTTGATCGTTGACAAAATCGGTGTGACATTTTAAAAAAAACCCTCTGCACGAGTAGTTTTAAATGGTACCATTTTTTTCTGTACAGTCGAACCTCCATGTGCGACCACCTCTCGTAAGCGACCATCAATCCAAAACACCAAAACTTTCCCAGTCAAAGCCTTACAGTTGGAACCTCTAGTAAACGACCACCTCCTGTAAGCGACCGCGACCACTTTTTGGGCCTGACGGTTAATGGTTTTCCATTGTTTTTAACCTCTTGTAAGCGACCAGTTGACGCATTCTCCGACCTCTATGTTCGCTGTGTGGACTATGCTACTTAAAATATACGAACTTTAGTGACAACATGGAACTACACATGTCGTAACTTGGAGATTGCATGCAATAAATTATCTTCCATAAAGTAGATGTGTCTACACCTCCTCTCGGAGAATGCCCCCTGTGGTTCCGTAAGCGACCACTCATCTTTGCATTTTGGGTGGTAGATTACGGAAGGTTCGACTGTATTTTACATAATGAAATTCGGGTTTTCGTTTAAATTTTCTTTAACATCCTCCGCTTCCCTAGTATGTTTTAATACAGTGTAAAACTAATGATATTTGCATAAATTCTCGCCGCTTTTGCACCTTAAAATAATTGACTAGTTTCGAAAGTTTGCTTTTCTAAATTAAAATGTGAAACTCAGCAAATAGAGACCACAGAGGCAACTTACCAAGTCAGCAGATGTAGAGGATTAACACTGTGTGTTAAGATGAACGAGGTAAAATGATGCAGTTTCCTCAAGTTCGGTCTTCGTTCCATGAAAACTGGACAGCGTTTTTTTCACAAAAGAGTGTAAACAATCACTCTTTATTCTCATTCCTGAAGAGCAGACAATTTTGGCAATCAAAACATTTTAAAATTAAGAGCCAGTGCAAGAGTAGGGCGAGGTGAAAATGCCAAGTACTAACTAGATGGTTCTGTAGCAGTTCTTTTAGCGTCTTTAGTCCGGGAAATGATGCTTTTCCTGCAAGCAAGCATATATTACACGTCCTACGAACACTAAGAAAGGAACACTACTCTCAGGCAGAGATAGATCAACTCTTTATATCTGCTGTTTTACCTAATTTTAGCTATGCGCTTTCAGTCTATCGGGGCATCGGAGTCCGATCTTACGGTTATACAAAATTTTTAAGAACGATACCATGAACGCCGTTTTATTTCATTTCCAGTTTTTATCAAGAACCTTTTAAATAAACAAGACGGAAACATTTTAAAGAAATTAAAATCAACGGATTGCCACCCACTGAAAGATATCATTCCTGTCCAGAAGACTTATGTACATAATCTTAGGAAAAAAGGCTGCGCACGCCTGAAGATCAATACAGCGCGTTTTATGAACACCTTTGTAAATAGGTAATAATAATAATAATAATAATTTTATTTATATAGCGCTAAAATCCAATAATTGTCCAAAGCGCTACCTAATTACAAAATAAAATATAAAAAATATAAAATATAAAATATCTACAATATACAATATAATTCAAATATAGCCTAAGTTATCTACTATATAAATCAAAAACATCTCAAAACAAAAGGAATCTCATAACCTATATGCTAACTTAAATAAAAAAGTTTTAAGGGATTGCTTAAAAGTTGCCACTGAAGCACATTTCCTAATCTCTAGAGGTAAATCGTTCCACAATTTAGGTCCTGCAATAGAGAAAGCTCTGTCTCCATATGTTTTCAATCTGCTTCTTAGGTAATGACATACTTTTTTTTTAATATATATATGTATATGTAGATATTTTTATCATAGTTTTTTTATCTTCCGTATTATTGTAACATAAGATATGTAGTATCTTTTGATGAAATAAAGACTCATTATTATTATTATTATTATTATTATGAAATACCATAAAAATTAAATAATGAAATATAATGAATACAAAACCGTAGAAATTTACCCTGAAAAAGCAAGATTTATCTCAGCGAAATTTCTCCATACAGTCATAGGATTTCACGAGAATTATCTCTTAAAGCCGATTCCTTTAGTTTGATTTTCTTAAGAATTCTCGGGAAATTCTTATAAAAAATTCTGAAATATGCTGAAATGTTATTCTACATGCATGTAACTTACATTGTTAATTATATTCACTTTACTTCAATGCACTGTATCATTAAGAAGCTTGCAGGCTAGGCTTGAACATTAATTACTGGCTTATAAAAAACTACATAAGAAAAACACCGTCAAATTTACGCGAGAGTGAAAGAGGTGACGTGACAGTAAGTGTGATATAAATCATACAAAACAACAAGCACAGGCCTGCGCAAGGAACACTGCAAAAACTAAAATTGCCCTACGGTCGGGAGTATATAAATGTTTACTACCCTTCATTTGTTTATCATATGGTGTATACTTAAACGTTTCAGTAACACGTTATGCAAAAAGAGGAAACAATGAATATTATCAGTACTTACATTAGAGAAGACTCTTGGAAGACGTACACTGCCAGCCGCGTGCACCGCCGACAATCAGATAAAAGCGTAGCTTCAGTTAATAAATTTCTAATTTAAATCAAACAGTAAACTTGTAATCCACAAATCGGATAACTGGGGAGATCCATATGACTTGTAAGGGTGAGGCTGTGTGACGTTAGAGAAAAAATAATTTGCACACATTGCAAGAAGGAAACAATATCTAAAATCTTACTTCGAGTTAATAGTCTTATTAGTATACCTAATGAATAGAAATCACCTTTTGGCCACAGTAGATTAGGCGCCGATTCTTGCGCGATTTCCCGCCAAGAAAAACGCGGGTTGTAGAAACACATCACACGATTTCCCGCTCAGAAAATAGAACAGACACTTGATTCGTTTCCCTCTCCCCCAAAGAGCGTACGGGCGGGCGTACGCTGACGTCACAACCAAAATTTCTCGCGCCACAACCAAAATTTTCTTAGCTATGGGGCTACGTGCTCGCGAGGAGTTCCGCTACTAGTCGCCGAGGAGTCATACCCATTTTTGATTCGTGATAAAAGCAATATCTACGTGTTCAGACAATCCGCAGAGTTGAAGTATACTTTTGGAAGTTCGTAACAAACAGTAAAATCAAGCGAAAGCTCTCATCTACCTCATCTCAATACCGCCGCCGGGTGCAATAATTGCTAAATGAACAAAGGACGTAGCCTGAAATTCATCCGATTGCTTCGAGTCGTTTTCTCCTCTCAACAACGTCTGAATCGATCGGCCGTTAATGCGTCCAGTGACGTCACTCACTACCCGAAAACCGGGTAGTGATTTTGATTGGTTGATTGTCTAAACATTCGCATAATTATGCATGATGAAGAAAAATTTTAGCGGGATTGTAGCTTGACATGCAGCGGATCGCATCCCTGGCATTCTTTCGTTTAGTTCAAACATTTCGAGAAGCTTAATCTTTACCTTAAACAGCAAAATTGCCCTTGTCTTCGAAACTGAAATGCTAAATTGAACTGCGAATGAAGAATCATTGCGGAGAGTCGGTAGGTTTTTCATTTAGAGCCGTTTTGTTGTTTCGGCGGCCGGTGATTTTGTTTACGCGACCTTCTTGCTATTTTTACCCTCAAGTGTAATGATTCTGTTAGCTTTTCTTTCTTGTCTCCTTGTTTTTTTCCTTCGTTAAGGACCAAATAGCTTCTTTTCAATTAAAGCAAATCATTGTGTTTTTGAACTATAAAGTGTTCCGTGTGTGTTTATTTCATTGCGAGATTGCGACGGAGTTTGATTATAGAATTTAGTACAACTGGTTCAGAGTTGTACTGCATGCAGTTGATAGTTTGAACGTTAAACATGAATTACAATCGAAAAACATAAAGCAGTTCTGTGTCATGCTGACATTTCCAAACGATATTTCTTGGTTTGCCACTTGTAAATCGTGTTTTACTTTTTGCATGAATTAAAGCAAAGGTCAAGGAGTAGTGACGTCACTGGACGGCATTAACGGCCGGTCGATTCAGACGTTACTGAGGGAGTAATAACGACTGTAACGACTCGACGTAATCGGATGAAATTCAGGCTACAAAGGACGGTTTGTTTCTTATCACGTGCTTTTGTCACATCACCGCAGCGCGCGAAATCATGATTTCAGTCGCGCGTGACATCTCAGAAATAATATGCTATACTTGTGCGGAATAATTTATGAGAGGAAGATAACCATATAGCGAAGTTTATTCAGATCGGAGCGTTGTTTCTTGATGCAACATAAACGAGGTGAGATCTTAGCTTGGAAAGTTTATTTACAGTGAAACCCCACCTTACACCACTCTGTAATACGGTCACCTCGTTATTAAGGCCACCTTGCTTTGCCGCCTGGCAAAACGGCCATACATTTTCTAGTAAGAAAAAAACCCTCGTTGATACGGTCACCGGTTGATATGGCCAAATTTTTAATTTTGGCCTATTTGAGACTGTATTAAAGGGGTTCCACTATATTATGTAATTTAGGGCTTATTTTAGATAAACCTGTTTTGACCGTATGTATCCGCTTCTCCGCTGCTATCTGCGGCTGTTTGTGAAAAATTCCTATGTAAAATTAAAATGCGATTTTTAGAAGTTTTTATTTTTAACTTATAGAATGTCTCGTAACTGCATTAATTGAATCACGGCTAAAATCTACCTGGAGATTTTGGCAGAGAGCTTGCAGATAATGAACATTTAGGATTGATCTTTTATGGCACACTGCCACAGTTACGTATTGTAGTTATTTATTAATAGGGACTTTAAGAAATAGGACAACGGGAGAGTTCTAGTATGGTAACGAAAAAGTTTTTTTTCCTTCACGCGTCAATGCCTCGAGTTAACATACATGAATAATAAAACGTGAATTCCCATTCTTTCTAAATTTTTCGCTGTTATTGCAAGTCGCTTTCTTTGTCAGTGTAGGCGAACTCATATCCAAGTTTAGAAAGGCAAAAAAGCCCACCGTCGTTTGTTTACGTCCTCCATAAATAGTGAAATTCGGCATTTTCACGTCGAGGTCGTACAGTGTGGCAAAGAAATGTAGTAGAAAAAAACAATAAGTTATGTGTGCAAAGTTGTTGATTTCGCTAACTAAACTTAGTTTCTAGCAGTACTACGCTTTTCTTATACGTAGCAGATCGCGGTGTCGAATACGCTAAGTGTTAGTTGTGTTTTACAAGATCAGGAACGCTAGTCCATAGTTTATATAATTAAATACCGATCAAATCTTTCTTTCTAGCAATCGGCTAGAGCTATCTCCATGACCTTTCGCACGCGTTTTTAAAAAGATTAAAACTTCTCATGAGGTAAAATTGCATTTCAAAAGCGCCTCGTTTTCTACAGATAAAGGCCGAAAATCAGATTGTCCAGTTTTTACCATATATTTAACCATAAAAACTTCACCCCAAAATGTCGATCTCGATAGCGTCCTTATAGCTTCATGAACATTGAGGCGGCTATTGGAGGAGAGAGCTATCGCGAACGATTTTGGAAGAACAGATAATGGCATCATTTTGTTGCTGTAACAATTCCGATGTCATAACTGTAACCATGATCATAACAAATTTTCAACTTTATCTAATACAGCTGTGGTGGAAATTTTTCCTAATCTTTGTCAATGGGGACGTACAGTTTATGCTCAAACTTCAGGGGCACCCAACGAGAATTGATGGTTTTCACGGTGACGTCATCAGATTGCAAAGTCAAAAAAGCGAGGTTTTACGAACTCTTATTTACACTAGGTTGAAGATTAATAGGAAATAAATTTTTGTACAAGTTTCCAGCCCCGAAGCATGTTTCATTTCGAAAATACAGCAGTTTGAACTTCGGAGATTTCACAGTTCGTGACACCAAAACAGGAATGCTATCTCCTTGAAAAAAGTCTCTCCGCTTGATTTTCAGCAGTTTAACCATTTCAAGTATTAGAAGATATGTTTATGCGCAAGTATGCTAGTTCTCGAGTGGAAAGGAGGAGCTTTTATAGAAAAAGTGAACTCCAGATGTTTTTCTTGATTTCCGGCGGCCATATTGCTGGACAGTTTCTGTCCACCAACATGGCGTCTCCCGATACAAAGCTCTACAAAGGTGCGTGAAATGTTTCGGCAACTAACTCAGAAACTGTGTGCCACAAAGACCTGAGATTTGGAAAGTTGTTTATGTATTAGTCTTTTATAACATTTCATTTTCTTGGCTTCTTCCACTGGACGGTTTCAAATGTATTTTTTTGTGCCGTGTCTATTGCGTGACAGTGAAAACGAAGAATATAGTTCAAAAATTTTTCATCTGTTCGGATTTCCTAGCTGAGAGTCTAGTGATCCGATAATTATAGGGATCAAAACTTACCTTTTCGAAAATTTCAGCCAGAAAAAAGGCTCCCGAAAATTCTAGGTCTTCTAGGTGACCTTTTTAGGGTAAAAATTCGTTAAAAATGGGCAATTATACCATTTTGGGGGGTTCGAAAATCCTAGGAGAAGCAGGCAAGCAAGAAATTTAACAACAAATTTTCCGAAAATTCTAGATCTCAAATCGTCTTCCGAACCATCACTAAATAATTTCTTCACTTTTCCTGGTGATACCAAAGTCAAACTTGGCCTTTTTGTTCATTTAAAGTAAACTGATGATATTTTTTTGTTTTGTTTTTTCGTTTACAAGTAGTCTACTTGAATGTATTTTAATTTATACACTACAGACCACGATCCCTAAAAGCTGTTTCCTTTCTCCCAACCGCAACAGCCTAACCATCGTAAGTTCAAGACAAAACCCAAATCTTATCACTTGCGATTTTGACGATTTTCAGAAGAAGGCAGGCTGCCTTAGAAGAAACCAAAACACAGTGCCAACACGTCTTTCGTAATGTTCATTGAGAACAAGTGCCAACAAGGAGGTCCTTCGAACGCGATTGAAAAAGGTAATAACCTTTAATGGCAACTGAAGGTCGATTTTCCTGATTATGATCAAAAATAGAATTATTCCAGCGATGACTCAAAACCGAAAAACCAAAATATACACAGCGATACTGAAGACTTTTTATCGCCCCAGTGCCCCTGTGTTTTTTGAAGGTTGGGCAGTACTAGGTAAATCATCTTCTTTGGGTCCCTTTGGTTAATTTAGATTGAACTTTCGTTTACCTTCGGTAACATATACTCCCAAAAAAGCTTGTCATATAAGAAAAGTCCCCGTCTAAAAGTAAAAAGGAGGACTATAGACTGTGAAATTAAATGCGCCTTTTTAAAAAACACGCTACCCGCAACAAAAACAAGAAACCAACTGGCCGGTGGCAAGTCCTTTGTCCGGCTGGGCAAAACTTCCATCGCAAAAATAATGTGGTGTTTCTTCATTGTTAGAAAATTTCAACAGGAATCGATGGATTTTGAGTGGTTTTAAGGTTTTCTTCAGAAGCAAGCGTAAAAGGACGCCAAAACGAAACACTTCGTTTTAAAATATAGAAGAGATGGCTTCGTCAAGCAACGACACTCCACGTGCTATAACAACAGATTACATATTGAGCGAAGGTGGACAAAGAGAGGATTTTTCAGTCGAAGATGAATATATTTACGATGATTATGATTTCGAACCGCTTCTAAGTTTTCATGGAGATATGGAATTTTCCCGGCAATGTCAAGGACGGAAGTATTCGCTCTTGAGGCCAAATGTTACAGCTGATGCTAGTACGATAATTCCAATTAAATGCAGAACCAGACGATGTGTTTGGCGAATTTTTATCGCTTTACTTTTGTGTGGATTTGGTGGTCTGTGCGGTTATCTGATAACTGAAAAATACGATAAGTGCAGTTTGGCGACCGGAGACTTCAACATTTTTCACAAGCAGTTTGTTCTTCAAACATCCAGCAGAAATATACAGCAATTTTTCGGGTAAGTAACTGCTTAGTGCCTTCATTTTTAGTGATTTAAGTGAATTATCCCCAGTTCGCGTCATGTTGCGTGCTAATAAATCAGTTCTATGACGTGAAGTAAGGTCACGTTGCAGAAACAAGTTTACATTCATTCTTAAAACCTGAACATTAGGAGTGAAGTTAAACTGAGGAACAGTGCGTTTCTTTTTAGTGTCATTTAGCAACGTTGCCGGGAAGCGACGGTAATCAACAGTCAGAGATGAGGAGGATCGGCGGGGAGATGGAAGGGGAGATGTAGGGGGAGATACAAGGGGGAAAATTTAAAAATAACAAGCAAAGTGATTACATTTGAGTGTTAATATATATTTGTGCTACTACTACTAATAATAATAATAATAATAATAATAATAATAATAATAATACGAGCATGGTAAGAGAGCATACATATCCCAGAAAACGTGGTAGAGAATGACGAAGTCAAACTGCTGTGGGATTTTACCATCCAAAGTGATCGAGAAATGATGACGATGATGATGATGATGATGACGATGATAATGATGGTGACGAAGATGATGATACAAAGGGAAACAAGCCAGCAGGAATACAAGATTTTTATGTACTTCTGTCACTATCTAAGCACTGCTAACTCCAGCCGTCGCTAGTTTCGTTACGTCACTTTTCCTACAGACAACTGACGTCACTTTGCAAGCAATTATTTTTGTACTTGCAATTCACTTTGTTGATGAAAGTTTTAGTACAACGCCAGCCCCCATGGCCCCAATAGTTGGAAGGGTGCAACAATTTTCGCCATTTCAAATAGTATTTTACACAACTATTTGTCTTTAACAGAAGCCGATAATCGGGTTCTGTCTTTTTATAATTGCGTTTCGAAATGTGTAAGACTTGTCTGGATTTCAGATTACTGCATAGCAAACGCGAAAAGATTGGAGGCTTTAGAACGTTGGGGGCAAGTTGAATGTAGTTCAGTGTGTCTCATGTGAAAATTTGAGAATAACAGCGGATCCCAATAGCTTTAGGAACTGAAAACCTATCGATGCAAAAAACTTTGGTTATGACGCCAGTGTACGCCAATACGCTCGCCTGCCCCTACATGTAAGCAGATGACAAATGTCACATTCAATACTTGTACTGATTGTTGTTTGTGGGAATGGTCTAAATTACCGAAAGAGTAGATTTGAATCTAGATTTATTATTATTATTATTATAAATTACCCAGATTATTATTTACCGAAGACCTTTCTAATCATCACTGAATTTTGGATTTAACATTGCCAATAAATGTGTCAAAAGCACTCAACGGACTTTTTCACTGATCGAGTGACCCTATTAATGTTAGTTGCTGAGTTATCAATAAAACTGACCATTTTCAGACGGCTTGAAAACGTTAACGTTATTATGAGTGCAAAATATGTTCTACTAACATTTTTTTACTAAAAAAAGAGATTTCGCAGTTTGCAAAAGCCTTTTTAAAGTGATCACTGACACGTGGAATGTTAAAAGCCTACCCACAGCTGCACCCAAGCAATAACAAGATTCGAACGTTATGAAACGATAGAAAGAACGGTTAATTTGTTATGAACCTACCACCTTAATAAACCAAATTTCGCGCAACATTATTAATTTATCATTGCATAAATTTTAGAAGCAAAGAACGACAGTGGTTCCAGTTCACCTTAAAATTTGGTATCTTTTCAGTGCACCAGCGCAACGTACTGATTTGATTACCAAATGCGGGAAGAATAACACAAAAAAGTGCGTGACGTGTTCAGCAAATTTTGACCCTTCTGAATCACTTCAATTATGTTCATAATAAATTTGTTTTAATGGGGTAAACCATGATAAGCTAGACGGTTGTTTGCACCAGATGCCTTTAAAGTAATGACGTCATGACGCTTGACAATTGAAAATTGCATTGCGAGAAGTTTTAGCCGATCCGTCACTTGAATCAGTTTTCTCTGCCATGATTCTATTTTTTTGTAATCTCGCAAATTTTCAAGGTAGAATCAATTATATTTTATTTTAATCAATCTTAAGACATTTTTGAAAATCCATTCTCTTTTACTCACGGCGATTTTTTTTGCTCACTTTCACGGCGATGTGGTTTTTGCTCAGTCTTTTCAAATGCTTGAACGGTTTATGTTGAAACAGGACACCAGCTTATTTTTTATCCCCTAAAATTTTTCAACCCAAGACTAGGAAAATATCAAAAATCTACTTTCCTTTCTCAGTAAAAAGGCTGAATAAAAAATCCGTAAAAATGGGCGTGTCATTTTTGGATGTTCGAAAATCCCAGTGAATCTGATCCGAAAATTCTAATCAAATCGTCTTCCGAATATAATTGTCTGAAAAACGGTTCCCAAGGGAACCGTTTTGCGTAATGAATTTTGTTACTGTTTCTTGGCGGAGGACAAACTCTACCAGGACTATTGCTTGTTTTTATTTTTCTCGAACAACGCTTACTTGATTGTGACATAGAAGACATTATAAAACTGAATTTTAACTGATTATTTCATTTGTATATGTTTGGTAATTTTTTCCAATAGCTTTCTGCAGGAATTTAAATCATCCATTTTTTTTTTAATCCACGAGGGACTAACATGCTAATTGGGATGTATTTAATGGGTTTGATCGTCCGAGAAGGTTTGAGAATATTTAATATTTGATTGTTTAGATAATAACAGAGATAAGGATGGGGTAAATACGTCACTCTTAGAATTTGTGTTACAAAATTATTAATAACATAACTTAAGTGAATATTTTTTATTATTTATGGCAGATAAAAGCGAGTAGATTGTGTAATCCATTCTGGCAATGTAACCGGCAAGTTTATTGATTCACAACACTAGCTATAACAAGGCGAGGAAACAGAAAATAAAATTTGAAAGTTCAAAATGATTTCAAGGCCTCTTTGTTTGTTTTCTGGATCATTTTGTGGTTTTTCATTGATTTATTCCACTCAAAGTTACGCCCCGTTTGCAATGCTCCTTGTCGTTTTCATTTTCAATATTTGTCGGTCGAATTTCCATTCGTTCACGACAATTTATAATGTCCACCCCACAAAAAAATCTAATTTGAGACTATTGCCAAGCTATCACTGGGATCTACCAGTAGAATTAAACACCTTCCTGACAGCTGAAACACTACCTGTCAATCGGTCTGTTTACAGCTGACTGAACTATGTTGAAACAAGACTCCTTCAGAAAAAATTTCCATATGAGCCAGAAACGACCATAACAAGAGATAAGTAGGTTAGCTACCATAACCGGTGGTTTTCCCACCATTTTTGATGGGAATGTCAGTACAAAAGAAATTCCTTTGTGGATTCGCCTCGTTTGTACTGTTTATTGGCCTCGTTGGGTTTTTCATTGGTTTTTTCGCACGTCCAAGTAGCGACAGCGAGAGTTGCTCTGGTGGGAAAAACGGAAATGAAGAAACATCCGGGATGTTAGGCTACGAAAAAGAAGTGTTAAGCCAAGTTTTGGAGCAAAGGATTCGCTATTATCTAGAGTGAGTATCTTTTTATACAAACATGTTAAATACGACCATTTAAGGGTACGATGGTTTATTCACGTCACGGTTGAGCCAATTTTAACACGGAACGCAACAGCCATTATTATCTTGCAAATGATCTGTGTATAAATTGGTGAAATGAGAAAGTCACTAAGGTAAATAATTGATACCATTCCAGTTAAGAATTTACTTCTATGTAGTTCAAAACCTCTCTTTTGAAAATCGAAATTCTAGGGAAAAAAATAACTGACCCGTTTCTACAGAAAAGTGTTTTCACAGACGCTGCCTATTAACGCTGAAGGAACCGCGATAATTTTTTTAAATTTAGATTCGTGGATGACAAACAGTATAAGTGAGTGAGTGATCATTGATGCCCAAGCGAGCATATTGTAATGATTTGATACTGTTTTTGTACTTTTTTTCAATTTCAATACAAACACAGAAAGTGCGCAAAAAAGGGGTATCAGTTTAAAAAAGCAACTTCTAGCAATCTCATTCTTGGTCTGAAGAAGCTCTCTTCAAAAAAAGAGGTTTGGAGCTGGTAGCGCACTAATCTCACCTACGCCACCTTTTCGTGCACTCAATTAACATCTTCATGCATAGTTATATTTTAACAAGAAACTTGACATATAAATGATTAAAGTAGAGCGATCATACACAAGACCAATAAAGAAATAATTCGAGCTGGAAGTCTTTACTCTAGTCTTTTATCCGTTTAACGTGTTCAGTTTCAAAGACAATGTGCGCGCAATTGATGCTCCCAGATCATTGATTAATTCTTTATTTCTTTCTGACGACAAACTGTTGATGTTTTCAGCTTGCCCTCGCCTCGTGTTTTTACTGCGCCATTGTTGGCGCGTCTCACCAAATTGCCCTTACATTGACAAACATGAGATACATCTTGCCAAAGCATCTGCGCATCTGAGATTCTATTTAAGTCTTCAAATTTTTATCTTTTTCAATTTAAATAGATTGATTGCGACAATAAATTAAAAAGTGTCTGGACTTTTTTGCTTGACAAGAGTCCGGTTTAAGGGAGTCGTTTTTAAGTGATTGTCTATTAATTTACCGCGAACCTAAAAAGAAAGTTCTAACATGGATTTGTAGTAATTGAACTTGTATGTGGACATCACAGCAGGTTACTGTTTAATCTTAACTACACGGAAAACAAAATGGTCCAAAAACTGGCAATTTTGAACCATCTGTCAGCTTTCGTAACATCAAAGGAACCGTCTTTTTGCAGACCGCTGTAGATAAATCAACCTTCTGACTATCTAGGGGTTAGCATAATGATATGACTGTTTTAAGAAATAGCGTTGTTCATGAACATCGTGCATTAAAGCCTTGAGAATGGGGCACGTTGGTTCATTATGAATAGGAATGAGATATCTTTATTTCTTCTTTTATCAGCGGTTTTGAAAGGGCCTGAATAAAAACCAGCTAAAAATGGATCGAACATTAATAGTAAGACCCTACCACGGTTTTTTAAACTTTTGACATGCACAAGTTAGGGAAAATCCATAGACACTACTGGAAAGAGAACCTTAAAATTTCTAAAATTAGCAAGTTTGAAAGTGATTTGTGGAAAACTAACGAGGATGTAGCATCTCAAGTCGCAAAAAGTTTGACAGACGTTTGTTTGATTGGGGACACAATCTAATTGCCGCCCACCATACAAACGTCTGCATCTTCACTAGCTTAAGACGTATCACTTTAATTTAAATTTTGGCAGTTTTTCTAATTTCAAGGCGCTCTTTTCAGTGGTGTCAAAGGATTTTCTCTAACTGGTCCATGTTAAAAGTTGAAAAAACTGTGGGGGGACCATTAATTGCTTCTCCTCAGACTTTAAATTATCATAAGAATGTTTTCTTTTTTGTCAAATGCGCGTCAGACGCAAGTATAGTAAAGAAACTAGCAGCAACAATTAGTGCTTTATAAAACTGTAATTAAATTCGAACCTCCATGTGCGATCACCTCTCGTAAGTGAGTTGGATCCTTTCATAAACGATCACCTCCTGAAAGCGATCGCTACCACTTTGGGGGTGGGGGTAGAGGCTGACGGCTTTATAAATTTCTATTGTGTTTAGCCTCTTGTCTGTTGTATTTTAGCGACCACTAACAGGCATGGTCGGATATCTATTTTCGCTGTATGCACTATCCTGCTCACAGGATAGGAGGAAATTTCATTTACATCAAAGAACTACACATATCGTAACTTAAAGTAGGTTGAGTCCGAGCCTGTTCTCGGGAGAGATTCCTCTTGTTCTATTCCCGTAAGCGACCACCTCCGCATTTTGGGCGCCTCCTTACAAGAAGTTTGACTGTATTCCGCCAGAGTTTGATCGGCGTGAGTTCTGCCTATATTTCGGAAGAACGTAGGACTAATGGCCTTTGAAGTTTACAAAAGAATATTAGGACAGACCTGGAAGAAGAACGTCTTGATCATCGAAACTTAACCACAAAAATCTTTTTTTACTGCAGTTGAGATGTAAATGTACGCTATGGTAGTATGCTTAAGTTCTTTTTAATATTCTTTACAAGTAGAAAATATGCACCGCATTCAGCAAGGGCAATTTACTCTCAAATGTCTTTGATGATAAAAAATCGAAACCATCAAAAGACGACTGACAACCAGGGAAAAGGAGTTTTGTGGCAGTGAGGGTTAATGGGATCTTGCAAAGAGAATTTATTTAATAACAAAACGGTCGACAGTGTCCTGGGACTTTAATACCGGGGGAATACAAGTTTCTTTACACACCATTCCGCCGGCCCTTTTAGGGCCTGTTTACAGGAGGTGGGGGACCCCAGGTAGGTGAGGTAACCCGCCCGTACTTATAATCTCTCAATTTAATTTGATCGCGTTTACATGATAGGTTGGGTGATCACTATCATTTCCAGGCTCACCACAATTTCTGTAATAGGTAATCATAAACATCAGTGGACATATTTTTTCTTAATTGCAGAAAGTTTCCCCTCAAAGTGAAGAAGAATTAGTGTTGTATAAGTAATATTTCCCTGTTCCTTTTTCTCAATTGCCAGCTATTTTAAAAACCTGTCAATCGCTACTGGAACAAATAGTAGTTGCAGCCAAGCCCAGCACATCAAGAACAAATGGAATTCCTTGGGCCTCAACACTGTAGAGATAAAGCGCTATGACGTCTTACGTATGTATCCCAAGAGGCCTAGCGAAGTATCACTGGTTGATACAACCGGAAGTATCATATATTCTTCAGCCTTGATACAGAAGAACAAAGCTTCCATATATGGTGTTGCAACGAACACTTTACCCTTCAGTGCATATTCTACTTCCGGTATAGCAACTGGCAAACTGATTTACGTTAATTATGGAAGGGAGAAAGACTTCAAACATTTGCAAGCTTTAAACATTTCTTGTGTGGGAAAAATTGTTCTTCTTAGATATGGCAAGGTCCTTGAGGACACCAAGGTATTCTTTGTATCACATAGTTTAGGGTATAGTTGTTAACATTCACAAGACAGAGAAAAAAAGACATTAAAATAATACCATACCACGGGGGCACCTAATGAATCTGTTCCTCAAAATATCTGTTCTTCAGGCCAATTTTTGCTGGCTGGGAGATTTAGAGAAAATGATATGTCCTTTGCAGGAAAGTTTTACTGGGAAAGGGGCCATTTAGGGTGTCCAAGGGGATTAATTTTGGCCTATGACCACACCAAAACTGACTGGTAATGTCTGGACATACGTCTGCTGGACGGTACTTACTTCCCGGTAAGTCAGGTTGCAGGTTTTATCGTTGTAGGTGCACCTTGCTGGCTGGGAACTCTTCCATCAGTCTTGGTGGGAGTGAGGAACAGATAAATTTTTCCCAGCAATCTCCCAAAATGCTTAAAATCGCTTCAGAAAGCTTTACTCATGCTTTGTTGTTGTTTTTAGGTATTTTTCTCAAAATTTCCCGTTGGGAGCCCCTGGACCATACCACTACCTCAAGGCTTATTTTATCTCGTTCCACCATTTTCCTATCCATTACAAACTAAGTAAACCCCTTTGTTACTTATCTGCAACTTCCTGCTCAATTTTCTTCCATTGTTTGAACTACTTCCCTCACACGCATGAAGGTTCCGCCATCCTTTTCTTCGATTCCATATTAAAAATTCTTTTATGAGGTAGAAGGCAAAAATGAAATTTAAAAAAACATGAAATTAAGATTGTACTTGAAGGGAACAGCCATCTAAAACTTTTAGCAGTCAAGTAAATTCTAGACAATATATGCCTTGCCAAACACTAGATGCTTTTTGGCGGTGCCCCTGTTCAACTTCAGTCAACAAAATCTTTCACCCTTTGACTAAAAGGTTGCAAATGCTTTAAAGTGGAATGTCAGTGGAGTCTTGTTATACTTGGATCCTGATGAATATACAAGTAACACAACCGATGTTAATGCAGTCAAGTGGTATCCCAGCGAGACAGTGCGTAGCGGAGCTTTATGGGCAATACCTGGTTACCCAGCCACAGGTGCGTAGAAGAAAATTATCAACCATATATTGCTTGCTAGTTTTCACGGTCATGGCATCAAAAATCAAACGCAAAACGGTCTAGCAGATAAAGCCTGGAATGTAGGAAATGAAAGGAGCTAAATATACCCAAAGGCCCTCGCCAAGATTCAGGTCGGTGCAATTTTTCATATGCAAGATATTAGGAGAAATGAACTTACCAAATTTATATAGCTTTGTATCAAGACGCCATGTTAGTGTCCATAAAAGCGGCACCAACATGGCGACTGGAAACCAACCGAAACACCTGTCATTGAACATGAGTATTGGTTATAAAAGCGTGAGTTCATCCCTGCTGAGAACTCATAAACATAAAAGTAGTATTTTTTCTTAAAACAGATATGTTCAGATCGCAAAATCCCCCAAACTAAGACAAATTTTAACAAAGTTGACAGCTCTCTCGGCCGCCATCTAAATGCTGAGCGTCATGCAAATTCTAACGAACTCTATCAAAAAATGCAGAATAGTTTCGATGGTAAACGTTCCCAAGCTAGCTTCTCTAATAGTTCATAAAAGTAAAAACTCATGAGGAACGATAAATCTTTGGTTTGAATTTAGATGACGTCAGGTCAAAACCCACTGAAGACGGAGACCTCAGTGGCTGTCATTTAGATTGCACTGAGGTGTCCTGACTTAGCGGAAAATGAAGACAAGCGACTAAAAAAATATATTCACCACATTTTTGGGATTATGCATCCGTCTTTTTTAGCGATTTATCTAGAGAAAATTAAATGTTATTCAAATAAATGTTTATTTTTGTAGCTGGAATATTAAGAGAATCAGTTGAGGATGTTTTACGGTTCCAGATTCCAGTACAGCCGATATCATGTCAGGAGGCAGAAAAGCTTTTAAGGTAGCTCTCAGTGTACGCTTTAGCAATGTATTTTGCGCACCAAAGATAGCCATTTATTTAGGTATTTCGTGATCAGACATGAAGGACTCGGAGAACTCGGATCCCAGAGAAAAAGCCTCATCATCCATATTACTGATATCTTAGTCAGTTGCTCCTCAGTGTTTTGTCAACAACTTCTATGTGTATTCATTCGTTTATTCATTTTTCACGCGTTATGTCGTTTTAAGACATCACTCTTAATTTTGAAGTGAATGCATGTGTAATCAAATGGTGACGAGTGCCTAATATCACTCCTCACAATTTGATTACCTCTTATTGGAGCGTTTTCACCCACGTGGTAAAGCATCTAAGCTAATTTATTGGAACAAAAGAAAGCATTTACATGAGAAAAGAGTTCAACTCTTTAAGGATTTTCTTGGTACACCAATATTTGGCTCCGTGACGTCATGCGAAAACGTTCTCAAATTGATTATCGATCGAGAACTCCACACACTGAAAAACTTTAGAGCTTAAATTTTTGGCTTAAGTTCATAATTTTCAGAGTTTTTAGGCAAAATACCTAATAGAACCCTTCTTGATGTACTTTCTCGTGTGTTTAGTTTCTAAAGCGTCTTTTAATTCCCTGACAGCTTCATTTATAACATTTTAAAACTTTGCCGCCATCTCATGACATTGATTCGTACGGAACGTTGCCATGGTAATTTCGCAATTTGACATGTGAAATTATAAATTAACGCTGAAATTAAGGAGTAGTTTGTCACCCATAATATTGAGCCATTTATATCAACGCTTGACTTTGCTGACAAGATAAGCGGTATTTTCATTGTAGACTTTTGAACCACACGGCGGTGCCAGAAGCTTGGCAAGGTGGAATGAACTTTTCATATGGAATACAAATGGATTCCAGTGATAAAAGGTAATCATAAGAGAGACTGTTTTTGTTGCGTCAGTTGATTTTATTGTAATTGTAATAAACCGCCTTGTGTAGGATTGTGCATTTTGAAAGTATGCTCGTCCATGATTCTTGAGGAATTGATTTACAGCCTTGCTTATTCTTCAGTTAAAAAAAATGCCTTAACTATTAATTACTTTTTCCGTTTATACCTTTTGTGTTCTTTTACGATAAAAGCTATTGTCATTCGAAGCAAATATTTATTTCTTTTCATTGGCCGAGAGCCCACCACGTGACGTGCAAATAACTGCCTACAAATAATGGTCTGCTCATGCGCAATGCCGTCCAACTGTGTTTGGCTGCAAATAATATTCTGCACATGCGTGAAGGAAACCGTACTTTTCTCGGCTATCGCTCTTGCGTAAAAATGGCAGATCATTTCGCTTCCCGAGGATTAGAACTCGGTTATAGCAAAACACAAGAGAGGATAAAGGGGACAGAGAAGGCATCCTCCGTACACACCCTATTCCACAGGTAATTCGTCTCGAGTTATTTTTAAGACCACAGATCCCAAGGGGGGATTGGACAAAAGCCAATCACATAGCGCAAATGTGTTCCGCGTGGATGACCCACGCTCAGAGCCACGCGTCCTTCACGAATTGAGGCAGAAAAAAATGACGGAAGACGCGGAGAGCGATATTGCTATTCGTTTTGTCGACGAAAACGAGAGATTTCTTCTAAAGCTGTGTCAGCGAAACGAAAATTAAAAAAGAATCCTCCTCTCTTGCATAGAGCTAACAGTGCAGCAGGGAAATCCTTAACACACTGAATATTCTCTCAGGATCATTTATAATTTACAGTTTGAAGAGAGCAATTTCTGGTTTGATATTTATTCTTTCATTAGTCTTTTATTATTCAACAAAAATAACACTTGACGTCCTATAATAATAATGACAATTTAATCAGGGGCGGATCTAGGGGGAGGGTGCAGGGGGTACACAGCCCCCCCCTGATATGACCTGCGGTTTTCTAATACAACTGGTATTCTGCCAAAAAAAAAACAATGTGGTTTATCAGGGGCACCCAACGAGAATATAGTTCAAAACCACTTAAACAAAGCATTGTTAAACGTATTTTAGTATTTAAACGGTAGATATAGGCATATTTTTATCCCCTGAAAATTTTTCATCTGTTCGGATTTCCTAGCTGAAAGTCTAGTGATCCGAAAATTATAGGGATCAAAAAAGCTTCAAAACTTACCTTTCGAAAATTTCAGCCAGAAAAAAGGCTCCCGAAAATTCTAGGTGATTTTTTAACGGGTAAAAATCCGTTAAAAATGGGCAATTATGTCATTTTTTAGATGTTCGAAAATCCTAGGAGAGGCAGGCAAGCAAGAAACTCTACAACCAATGTTTCGAAAATTCTAGATCTCAAATCGTCTTCCGAACAGATATTTTCCGAAAATTGTAGTTGGGTGCCCCTGTTTATTAGTGTTGAAGTAGAGCAAGAGACAAGTGCACCCCCTCCTAAAAAAAATCCTGTATCCGCCCCTGAATTTAATAACTTCTAGAGCGCTATTTACATTCACTGATCAACAGCGCTTAACAACTTAAAAAACTACAATAAAATTCAAATTTGTAAAACTAATTACATGTACATGAATATTACTTGCTACTTGCTTTATTGAACAAACGACCGGTTTCAATAGACTGGCGAAATTTCTCATTTTGTTAAAGCACTGAGGTTACGACAACTTCGAGTTAAACTGATTTCACAGGTTGTCAAAGAGTCCAGCGATTCCCCTTTTCCCAGATGAGCGCCGACTCATTTCGTTTCAATATTCAGAAATGCTCTCGATCTCTTTATGCTTTCATTGCCCTTCGCCCGACATGTTTTGCACGGCGTTTAGTCATGCGAAACCTCCACGAAACATCCACGCAGCGCGCGAGGTAACTTTATCCCGATTCTAAAAATAACTCGAGACGAATTACCTATGGAATAGGATGTATATGGGGGATGCCTTCTCTGTCCCCTTTATCATCTCTTGCAAAACATCGTGATTTGTCAAAGTCTTGCAGATCAATTATTTGCCTCAGCCTCCGGCTTCGACAAATAATTGATCTGCTCGCCACGGACAAATCACGATATTTTGCTCAACCTTGCCCCATAATTGTTAATTATCTTAAGTCATCTCAAGTAGTCCCAGAGAGGAGCTTTATAAACTAGCATCTCAATGTATTGTGAAGCTGTAGTGGAAAACTCAGATGGAGAAACTTCTGAACACACTCAAGGGGCTTAAAAACAACCATCTGGGATTAGGAAGGCCTCTCTGAGAGGGCGCTCTGAATTTTCCTCCCGAATATTTTACAATTTTAAATTTCATTTTCTTTTTCACTGCAAGCCCCATTTCTCCTGGCACTCTGTTTACATAAGGTGATACTATACCCTCAATAGATTTCTAGCGTTTATTGTAAACTAATATATATACTGATTGGCAGAGACCATGCACCTTGATGATGGTTTTATCGGCTTTCTTTTTTCGGCAACTTATTTTCAAAAAACGTCACTCTTACTAAATACCGTCGGTTGACAGTAATAGGGGTTTTAAGCTCGATGTGTTACCTTGCTGATTAATTTTGAACTAAACCCTATCTTTTTATCCAATATGTTTTATAAAGAAACGTTACCATGAACGTAAGTCTTGCTGTATTCAAGGAAGCGGTTTGCAATGTGGTGGGAACCATCAAAGGACTCACAGAACCAGGTGAGAGAATAATTAGTTGTTACTGACTTCACCAAAATAATTTTTATTAATGTACTACTTAAAATTGAAGATATACGCGGGCTTTCGTAATACTTCAAAAGATACTAAAAGAAGGCTGATTTTAACTGTGATTTATAATGACAGATCGTTATGTTACGCTGGGTGCTTCAAGTTTGTCTGTTGGTGCTGCTCTCCTTATGGAGGTTGTCCGAGTGTTAATGTCCATTAAAAAGAAAGGTACGTCCTTATCACATGTTAAACTGTGCTGTGCTGTGCTGTGCGTTTGTAATACCCTCTAATTCAGGTTATAACAAACGCACTGACCAACTTTTAGCTGGTACAGAACCGAAATTTGATGGTTGAGGCAACTATGGACTTGTTCGTCTTATGCAATGAAATGCATATTCAAAAGCGTAAGACGAAATCATAGGCCCAGGTTGCATGAGCCGGGTAGGGCCCTTTTGCGGACTGGCTCACTTTGTCAAAGTCGTGCCAAGTCAATGAAAACGCAACAAAAATCAACTTGGTAATAACCAGACAACTAAGTCAGCCCGGCAGGTGGGATCTCGGTATAAAGATAGCTAGTGTTATACCGGGATAAAAGCCGCCTGGGCAAACAAGGTCCCGCTCATGTAATCATGAAAGGGCCCTCAGTGCTTTCATTTTCGAAATCGAACTTTGTGGTTAATCTCTGTCAGTTACCTTCCTTTCGTATGCAACTCCATCTAAGACACATCTTTGGATTTGTCGTATAATTTTTTTAGGATGGATGCCTCGGAGAACGATAAAAATCTGTCACTGGGGATCAGGATATATTGGATCTTTGGAATGGACCGAGGTATACAGCGTTACCGCTCATCATCATCATCATCATCATCATCATTATTATTTATTATTCTGTAATGAGAGGCCACTCTATCCTTTTGCCTGCAGGGCACTGTCTCTGTCAGTCGACTCCAAGAATGTGCTTTTTTTTCTGCTGAGTAACAAAAACGTTTCGGATCAAGCCTTACACAACGGCTTTTTGTATCTTCGAGCCTAACTCGCCGAGAATATTTCTAAGTTCTTAAAAACATTACGCTGTATCCCCTAGTAGACTTTCTTCATTACATTCGCCTGTTTGCCGGCAAGTTTTAGAGTAGTCCGGAATAGATGTGTTTTCCTTACACGATAGATGAGCAATATTTGAGTGGCGTACTTCCGTTCATTTTTAGTCAGAAATTCGGCTATTCGCTCTTTACGTGAGTTCACTTATGCCAAAACATCTAGGCTGCGGCGCTGCTGCCCCGAGACGAGATTGCGATGATATATTGGGGCGGCTATTAGGGCAATTTACCATCATGATGATGGTACTTTGCTCCCATCGTCCAAATTTGGTCATGGCATAAGCTACTTACAAAGAGTTACCCGTGTCCTTGAAGCCAATCATTAACAACGAAATATTGGAATGAATTATATTATCCATTATGTTCCTCCACTATATTGCTGTTTTATTTTATGTTGCGATTAGGAAAACAAACTAAATATTCTTCATTTTTTCGGATACTGTTATTATCTTGATATTAACACCGCCCCCCCCCCCCCCCCCCCCCCCACGCGCGCCAAACAAGCGGATAGTTTAGATCTACCGTTCATTTTAATTAGTACATTTCTCACTGGCCAGCACATTAAACCTAAGACCCTTTGGATTTAATCGTCTAATTGAATGTAATTATGTAAAATCTATTTCTATTTTAGGAATACTATAAGCTGCTTCAATTTCGCTCTGTTGCCTACTTGAACGTGGACAGTGGTATTCAAGGTACTCCTTATTTTATTAGCTTCCCTTAGGGTTTTTGATACCTTTCATCTTCTTGGTTTACTTGTTTGTCTACGGTTTTCGTAAATTGCAGAATTGTAGCTCCCCGATCTCCGTAGTTCTGTATAAGAAGATTTCGCTCCTCTTCAACTTCCACCTTTCCATAAGGGCAAACAACCAAATGAATTTCACCTCTTCATAATGCATTCCGTACACTGAGCATAGATGGCACATGGACCATATCGGTGAATTTCAAGTCAAAGGTAGACCAACGTACGATTAGGCCTGTTTATAATGCAAAAGAAAGCAACGCTTAGACTAATATAGGATCGCGAATGAGTTCTGTATTGACATGCATACCTTAAGATGCCGAGAGGTTACCCGACTTATTGCTTTTTTCTTTCTGTAGGAAACGTCGCCCGTCCGATGATAAGATCAAGTCCCCTATTAGAAGAAACAACTTTTGAAGTCGCAAAAATGGTAAGCTTACTGTAATCATAATTCGCAGATCGTTGACGGCAAGGTCCTGACAACTCAAAATCATGATTTATAGAAACTAGGAAAATTTAAGCCAATTGTACACTCTCTGGTTCTTTTCTTTCATGTCAGCCAGTTTTGAGGACATGCTAGCTTTAGTCAGTTAAATGATACTTATTTGACTTGTTTTGAAGGTCAGACTGTCAGAAGGTCAAAGGACGTTGTATGACGAAATCAAGAAGACAAAATTCGATAAAAGGTTTGTTCTTTTTATGTTGTAATGTTCATAAAATGAATACCGGCTACTCAGCACCTGGCATGGAGAATCCTGGCCTGACAAACTCTCTAGAGAGCAGGTGGGAGAAATTAAGGTAAAAAAATTATTATTGGGGAGGGGCTGAACCAAGAACCAGTATATTAGGGATATTTAATTTTCAAGTGGAGATTTTGGATAGTAGGATAGTTCTGGAAGACTGATTGTACTTGCTGGCTCTTGTTCAGTGATTCTTCGCAGCTGGAGGGCAAATGATGCTTGTTTTTCCTCGGCCCTCTTTTTTCCTTCTCGATTAATGTTATAGTTTTCTGTCCTTCTCTCTTCTTTTCCTCAGTAATACCGTTTTTCCTTCTCAGTATTATGGCTTTACCCCCTGCCCCTCAATGTATTGTTTTTCACTTTCTTCTGTCTCCTCACCCTCCTCCAACTCATTTCTTTACAATTTTAAAATCAATGCACAAGAAGAATTTTTGCTAAACTAGGTAAAAAAGGATGTTCATGAAATTTATTAGTAACATACTCGGAAAAGATGAATATATGGATTTCATGTATTCGTCTTTTTACATCAATTTGAAGAAAGCCAGCTGTCCTACCCTATAACTACAAGGGAGGCCCTTTCATTTTCACTTGATAACTATTATTGTTCATAGTAAACTATACTTTACCAAGCTGCATTATAAAGGCCCAAGTTAAGTTATTGATCTGAACTAATCAATTGTAGCAAGGAAATGATTAAACTCTTTTGCTCAAAAACTGTCCGATTTTTTTCTACACACCTTCATTGAGCCCTAAGGAGGGCCAAAACAGAGTGAAGATGATTTAGCTTCAGACAGTTTTGCCGAATATAAAAGATTTATAATCTAAATAGTACAAATGTGCTTCCTCACAGACTGAAAAAGTATCAGTTAGCATGTTACTCACAGCTTTTTGCCTAAATTTATAATAGCTAGCCGTCATTTGGTTTTGTTTTGCAGCTTTTTGTCTCAGGCTGGGGGTGACAGTGGCTGTTTCACGTTTACTAAGATTGGTGTACCATGCAACTGCCTAACTGGCTACCACCCTTACAATGTAAGTTCAACTTCTGTATTCAGTGGAAACAAATGGAAACACGAACTAAGAACTGACCCATCTCTAGTCTATTATCGTGCATTTACTTATGAACACATTTTGTGAATGCACCTTGAAAAAAATGCAGGCACATTTCCAGTACAACTCAGTTTTACTATGATGTATTCTTCGAAAAATTAAATAATAAGTTGCAGAGACCAACATTGACTCTTAGACTAAATGCTGAAACCTCATAGTATGTTTAAAGCATTTGGCAGGGACTAAATTTTTTGTTGATAGTGGGTTAGTTATAGAACGAAACAGTATGAAAATTTGGAGAGAGCTGGACCAGTTGATGTTCCCATTGCTTCAGGCCTAGGTGTGAAGCGAGTTAGCGAGTTCCTTCTGACAAAGTTAGGTTTTCTTCTGGTTTACATGTACCTTGTGCAAATGTCACCTTTCTTTCCTGCCTCAAAAAGATAGTCACTCGGGAAAAAATCAGCAACAACAAGAAACCTCTGCATGACCCTCAACAAGAGCGAAGGAAGAGAGAAAAAACCTGAGAGCAATGGTCTGTTTTATAAGTTAGAGCGATTTCAAACTTATCTTCATCCCTAGCCTGTTATTTTATTACGATACCATTCTAAATTGGCAAAAATATGTTGAACTCAATTCGATTGCATGACCGAAAATTACTTTGAAAATGGTGAACTAAACTGCTCTACAGCATAAATTGAAATACTATCTTTACATAGCATATTTCTGTTCTGCATTACGTCATAAAAGTTACCGTACACTTTGTTTATGTTGCGTCGATCGCCTCGAGATTCATTCTGCCTTGGAACTTTCACTCACGGCTTTGTTATCCTGCCGCCTCGCAGCCTCGCGAAGAAGCGAGGCTGCTTGTTGGCTAAAATATGGATATTATGGGGGGTCGGACAGTTTTGTAGTCATATACCAGCCATAAACTTGATTAATAACTGCATATTTTTTCAAGTAACAAGTGGATATATTTTACAAGCAAAAAGTTTTTCCCGATTTCAAGACGCTTTGAATTTAGTAGTCTTCTCTCTACTAACAGGTCTCAACCAACTATTACGCGGCGCTCGCCAAACTTTGGCTGCAGATGACCTTCAATATCGCAGGCTCGATGTTTATTCCTTATGACGTGGTTCGTTACGCAGACACCTTGTGTGCTTTCGCAAAAAACCTGTCGACAACTTACAATGGCACTTTGAGAGTAAATAATATTACACTGGGTATGTTTTGTTGAACTCAAAGTTACTTTTAAGGTATACGAACATATTTTGAGAACAAACTATAAAACAAAACTCCTTGTTCTTTTTATTATTATTATTATTATTAATGTAACTTTTCACTGAGGATGTTTTTTTTTTCATCCATGAATTTCAAATCCATCTATTTATGACGTCTTTTCTACAGAGGTTATATTGAAGGCTGCTGAGGATTTCCAGGCTGCAGCAAAAACATATCAGAAATGCTTAAATACAGTGGACAAGACAAAGTAAGAAACAGTAAGGGCTGAAGTATGAAAAACACGATTATTGTAAAAGACATCGATCTGTTTTATCGTCCATATTTTAATGACAAAATTATATACATTTTCCGAACGTTTAACCTTGCGAAATGAAATTCATGGGAAAAAGTAGTTCATTTCAGTTCGGTTTATTACTAAAGGGGGCTATCGTCAAGCGAGTAATTATGTTAAGGAAACAACAAAAGGATGTAGTGGATAGGGTAGGATTGTTGTTGTTGTTGTTGTTGTTGTTGTTTAGTAGTAGTAGTTGTAGATATTCTGAAGAATTATATTTCCCCGCTACTTGACATAGGAAATGTTTTTAGAACACAAATATCCCAACAAAATAAACTCCTCCATGTTTTCATCATTTGTAGTGTTTTACAAGTGCGACTGGCAAATGATCACCTTCTTCAGTTGGAGAAAGCATTTATAAGTAAAGGAATGTTTCCTGGCATGCCATTCGTTGGGTGAGTACTATATCTACTCCTTTTTTGATAACGTTATCGCCAGGTGGACCTTTTGCGTCCAACAGTTTTTGTCGGCCAAAAACTTTCTCCAAAGCAGCTATTATAAAAACTAAGAGTGCAACCATTGTTTTTTTTCTTCTCCTCTTTTCCTTCTAGCCGCTCTTTTTTTTTCGTTACTATGATTTTGCAGCTTCTCGGGCTCAAGAAACGTGCCTTTTGACGCTTTTTCACACAAATGGCTGCAAATTTCGTTAGGTTGGTTTTCAAAAAATCGGTTAGATAGAGAAGCTAAATGTTTAATTTCGCCTAACGAAGATAAACTTCGAAAATGACGGAGTCATAGTGTCCATTCTATATTACGATCTGCAAAATCTTTATCGTCTCGTGCCTTCTTATCGGCCTAAGAAAGTTTCAGCTGAGTTTTGGAGTCCGCACAGTTATATGTATACCCCAGAAAATAAACTTCTGTTTTGCTGACACATAAGTTAGCCATAATGACCTCATAGGCGGGTTGGGGGCAAGAAAACGAGGGGGGTGCACCGTAATTTTTAGGGAGTTATTATAACTCCAAAAATGGAGTAAAAATTTTAGGTACAGGATAACCCCTTTTTTGGGGTTATTTTAACTCCTAATTTAACTCCGAATTTGGGGTCATTTTCACTCCTGAAAAAGAGTTCTTTTTACTCCCAGTCTGGAGTTAAAATTACTCCGGAATGGGGTTACTTGTACTCCTTACATGGGTTGTTTTTACTCTTTTTGGAGTTAATTTAACTCTGAAAGTGGAGTAAAAAATCTTTTTTCTGGGGTCGCTTTTACTCCTCAAAAAGAGTTCTTTAAACTCCTTTTTGGAGTTAAAGTAACTCCACGAAAAATAACTCCACTGTAAGGAGTTAAATTAGCCCCACTAGAGGAGTTATTATAACTCCCTGAAAATTACAGTGCGTTTAAACCTCAATAAACGCGTTTGTAGCGAGAAACTTTGAACTCACATGTCCAGACGGTATCACATATTTTTTGGTCGGGCAATATTAGGGCACCAAAGATTCCAACGGACGCCTAATTACAGTAATCTGATGTTAAAACGCTCAGTGTTCTAAACACTGACTCTTAAGGACTTATATGCTAGGAGTCTGATAAAAAAAAATCAAACGTATTACATAATAATAATAATAATTCATAATAATAAGGGCATAAATTTCGGTTTTTCTTGTGCTTTTTTTTAGACACGTGATACTTGCGCCGAGTTATTTCACTGCGGCGACGGACAACACTTTTCCAGGCATCATAGATTCCATTCGCTTTGCTCAAGAAAGTGGCATTAAAAATGACTGGGAGAAAGTTCGACAGCAAATATCAGTTGTAGCACATGCCTTCCGTACAGCCGTTTCATTTTTACAACCTCCGGATTTTTAAACAATGCCAAAGCTGCATTTGATCACAGTCAACAAAGGAGCACGAATTTCCCAGTCAAACCTATGCTGACAAATTTCGTGGCAGAAATAGACAGTTTGTAGCATATTTAGCTGTGTCAAAAGTATGTTATCACGACTGAAGTCGTTTTGCAAGAAAAAAGAGTTACAATGGTGCAGACACTGTCACACATTTGTGTGCTGCATGACCGCCAGCCAAGCTAGCCGTGGTTAGAGGGGTTTCAAGGTTAAACGTCTTTTATTTGTATACTTTTCACGTCATGTGTGCAAAATTGCAACATTATCTAGAAAAAAGAACAGAATCCAGGAAAACATGAGCCTATAAAGTAATACGCGATAATATTCTAGACAAAGGACTACGGTTAGCTTGTTGCTTTGGATTACAATGTCAGAGGTATTCCGAAGACTAATAACGAGTGCCAATCGTTATTACAGAAAGAGACACAGAGAATGGACATTATTCATCGCATTCACTTAAATAGTAAGTACGAACAAGAGAGAATTCTCTCTTGGTACGAATGACTGTTGACTTAAAAAGGCATGCTTTTAGTAAAATTAACAAATTAAGAACGGCCATTTCTTAAATACAGCAACTAAAAGGAAATTATGTTAAGGTTAAGAGATGAATGATACCTTAGCCTGTGCTAGGCTGTCGGTCAGCGCAAACAAACCAAAAAAAAGAGAGCGAGAGTGAAATAGTGAACGAGATGAGCGAAAAACGGCTGTAAGAGAGAAGTCGAGAGTTTGTAAGCATCTTGTCAAATACCTAAATCCCCCCACTACCCCGCCCACTTCCCGAAAAACCGTTTCTCGTGTCCAAACGTCAAATGTCAAAGCGTCAAAAGGTGCGGCGTAGAACGGTTTCACATGCCCGACATGCTTGTTAGCCAAAAGATTGACGAAAGAGTTGAAGTTAGCTGTCACAATTGCGCCAGTCATAGGGTATAAGTATCCCAGAATGAGATATTGAAAAAAATCCTTACAGGCTCCACTACTTCGTCTCTCCCCAGCCCCCATGCGGTTTTCTCGCAACTTTCCTCGACTCGCTTTCCCCACTATCTTGGAGCCTGGGGCAGGCTAATGATGCCTTCGTATGCATAAGGTGGTTGCGCGTGATTATTGATATCGAAGCATGATCAGTAAATTGCGGAGATGCATTTGGCACGTAATGCTTTGTGTTGGTTCTGGTAGTGGCCCAAAGCACTCGCGGCTGAACATCATGCTTCAGGCCGTCGCAAATTATTGCGTTCGAGGTACGAGAACGCAACCCCTAATTTGTGTTGGGTTTTCTGTGCATTTTTGGGTGTCCTGTGCAGTTTATAAAGGAGGTTTTTTCGAGATTGCATTCGTTGTCGTCGACACACATTTGCCTCGCTTTGAGGCGCTTGCTTACGTTTTGCCTCGCTTTGAGGCGCTTGCTTACGTTTTGCCTCACTTTGATGCGCTAACTCACGTGGTGATTCGTGTGTCCTCGGCGTTCATCTTTCAAACGTTTGCTGAGGTCCGCTATTCTGTCTTCGTAAATGGTTCATCTTTTTCAAAAAAAGTGTGCTGAATCTTCGTAAAGCAAACATATTTAAGAGTTTGCTGAAGCTCTACTATCGATCTGTGTTTGCTGAATCTTTCAAAACGTTCATCTTTCAAAAGTTTCGGCGGCTGTTATGCCACAAAGTAAATCTACAGAGTTATGTAGCTCGGACGCCGTTGTGCCACAAAGTAAATCTACCGAGATGTGAAGCTCGGCGGCGCAATTTCATCCTGACTTGTCATATTTACGGCAAGGGACAAACGAACATTTTAGGTCTATGTTATTTATTCGGAAAAACTCATAAACAGCCCACAGTAGCTCCACTGAAGTCACTAAAATCAACACACTCGACTAAATTACTGCAGCATGCACTTATTGAGACGGACCATACGATATCACTAGCGTTCACTGGGGCTTTTTCATAATGATACACAGTTTAAATAGAGATTTCGCTGTAAGCAATCCTTACTTTTAAAATATGCCATGGTCAAATTAAAACCCGGTTTCCATATGATCGCGACCATCGCTGTGATAGCTGAGAAAAAAAAAACTTCAGCGATCGCAGCGATCATAGCGATCATATGAAACCACTCTCCAGCGATAGCAGCGACAACAATACGCCGGAGAACGGTGAAAAACAACAATAGGTCTGATTAGCAAAAAAGCAACTTTGCAAGTGCAGTACACTTTTTTTGTACATTTCTTTGCCGTTGTTTTGCACAACTACAACGTGAAACTTCCAGAAGCTTCTTAGTTCTCGTTCACTTGTTTCCACTGCCGCTCATTTTCACCTTGCATTATTGGTGGCCGCTAGCATTTCTCATTTTGTCACCGCCGCTACAAAATTTTTTTCTAAAAATCTCCGTCGCCCTTTTTCTCGTTAAGCTTAACCTGAGATCAGGCGTTTTTTTTGGCTTCTTTGTTTCTTTGGCATGAGAGGGGAAAAAAATAACGCCTGATACATTCATTTAAAGAGCCGTTAACCGCCCCCCAATTTACATAATCTAACGTCTCCTTGACCTGCCATGTTATTAGCCAATAAGCGTTTACCAGACGGGAATCAGTTTTGTTCAAACAAAAATCCATTTTATAAAATTTTTATTGTGTTCAGATAAAAAGAATTTTAAATGTGTTCAAATCGGCTGGAGCATTTATTTAACAGCTACAAATAATAAAGAATTTACTAGGAAGCTCGTTGACTTCGTTCTGTGCCGAAAGCAGTGAAAAAAGCAACATATTTTACGAACGGAAAGGTGTTGTGATTAAGACAAATAATTCGCAGGTTTCTGAAGGAGGAATTACAATCAAACCAGGTCAAGATTCCATTCACGAATTTTATTTGAAAAGTGAACCCGTTTGTCGCTTCTGTAACTTTGCCGTTCAAATTGTTTTCGGTGAATTTTTGACTGGAACTTTTTCGTATACGATGAAGGAAAATATTTCAATGAAATTTCTTTTAGTTCTTCTTCAAATTTTTTCCAAACTGCCGCTCATTTTCAACGAACTCGCGTATTATTCACTGCTCATGGCAAGCAAAAATGCAGACTGAAATCAACAACAACTAACGGATGGCGGCATTTTGGCCAATTGGATTTTGATCCGTACCGTTTCCACTCCAATCAAAAAAAAGTTTCTGGCATTTTAAATCCGACAAAGAAATGTATCATGCCCTCTTCCCGTGAGAGACATACAGGGATAATAGGGAGAGGGCATGATCTCAGGCTACGTTGACCTTCGCTGGCCTGCCGCCCACTTTCTCTTCTTCTCTGTCTTTCTCCTGCTCTATATTCCAAATTTGTTGACATGACAATTTATCTAAGCTTAATACTTTCGACAACACGGATACAGAAAAAATTTCCGCTTTCTGTTTTCGTCTTTATTGACTCTTTTGTTGTCTCTGCTTTACAAAAACGCCGGTGGCTATGCGATTTCACGCCAAGATAACCTCGAGTTGCATTTCGGTTGTCATACCTCTTGATTGAGTTATTTTACATTGGTATGCCTGTGGTGCGGACGGACTGTCTCTCGGGCGGGCGGTCGGTCGGTGTACGGTCACGTGATTACCAACTTTTCTCAGTTTTCTCGGATGGGTAGATCACTTCATTTTCTTACTTATGGTGCTCCGCTGGCACGCTTCGGGCGCGAGAGCTCCGCTATTAACTGGTCCAACAATTGTCTTAAAGAGTTGTGTGAAACACTATTAAACAGAGCGAATTCTAGTACATACTCTCAGAAAACACCTGCAGTGACCTGATTTGGTCTTTTTTACTTCACGCGTGAGGAGCCTGGGAAGGTACAGAAAGAAATTGAACTCTGGGACAGTTTTAAGAGACCCAATCGCTCTTATTGGCTATTGCAAGGTTGAGCAGCGAACTGGGTGAAAATTCGCTATCCCCCACCCTCAAACGTCCAACAGTGATATTAGGCACAGTACCAGTTCATGTCTTAAAAGATCTTCAAATAGCCAATGTGTGGACAATTATCCTGAATACTTCCCGGAATTAACCTTGGTTAGCTCACCCTAAGATGGAGCAAATCATTGGCAGTTTTTCAGTCGTTATCATCTCTGATCCTTGTCACCGTGGGAACCTGATTGATATTCCATCAGCTGTGTGAGTTGTTGATTTACTGAACTCTGCTCCTGTTATCTTCCATACTGGAGCTCCGTTGCAGAAACAAAAATACAAGTCAGAATGTATTTTTCCGTCGAACGGGAGGCTTTACAATGACTCAGCCGTCTCGCGAGGAGATTTTTGCGGCCAGTGACCTCACTACTCGTGGTTCAGGCAATGGAACTCGCGCGCTAAATTCTACCAGCTGTTGATTATAATGAAACAAGACCAATATCAATATGTGACGGCAATTGAAGTAAAGGGCAAGCATTCTCCGTCAAAATTCCAAAGAGCACATTTTCCAAGCAGAGACGAATTCGTTGATTCGAAATAAGGCACCAATATAGTTCAAATTCACTCCAAAACTGTTTAGAGCGTGAGCAGTGATAGAAAAAATGGGTTAATGATTCAGGTTGATTGTCACAGAAAGTACATAAATCAATTGTTCTAAAACCTATTTTATACAACTTTGTATTTGTGTAAAGAATTGAGTTAATTACTTTGTACTGGAAGGCTTTAACATACGACTCGACAACGATAGAGTGTGGCAGCTTAAATATTTGCTTCAGATTGTCGCTGTTAAAATGAAAGTTACTCTGTAATTTTTGAATAATATTGGGCGGTTTAGCTTTTTCTCTGATGAGTAGGTTGTAGTAATCCTTTGATTTCCCTTTCGTAACATCAAAATTATTGTCACCCACCACAAATGTTGGTGATTTTATGGAAGGATACCTGTCATAACTTCTTAACGATAATGGAATGGACCTGCGTAAGCCAGCCCATTCTAAAATATTTGTTTTGCATATTTTTTTAGCCAGTTGATTATAAGAATCAGTACTGCTCAGACCAAATATCGACTAAATAAAAGATCCTGAATGCAAATGGCTCTCACATTAACATAATGTTTATAATAAACCGGCTTGTTTTCTACTTTTATTTCTTTGTTTATTCCAGATTATCGTTTTCCAATCTTCTTCAGTGGCAAACGTTTCACGAAATTGCGACCACCATAACAAAAGTTCCTGATAAAATGGAGAAGGAATTGTGTAATCCGAGATATTGTAGTTGCAGTTAAAAAAGAACAATCCCCCAACGGAGCTCAGTATGTGTTGTAGGTAGCTTCACCCTAGTTCCATTAGTCCCACTGAAGATACGTTTTAACCAAGCTAATCTCAATAACCATACACCATGATTTAACCATGCACTCGAGATCAACC